TATGATCGTTATCGACACATAGGTTTTAAGTGGTACGAACCATAACCCTTTGAAACTCGGAGACTGATTACATTGGTTGTAAAAATCAAAACCAATATTGCCAGTTCAAACAAATAAAAACAATCATGAATTTCTAAAGCTATACACTACATGTGCCTTTGTTAGGATGGTGAAACTCTAGAGGGCTACTGGAGAACCAGGGTAGCAATTGCCCCCCCCCCTTGAGATGTTAAATATACAGTTGTGAGCTTTGTAAGGTTGTAAAATCTCAATTCATACTTGGCTTAAAATACCTTCATTCGTAAGTTCACCGTTTCAAAGTAAAGTATTAAAGTATTAAAATCTATAATAATTGTCCAAAAATAAGTCTTTGCGATTTATTTACAATCATAATTAAAGGAGGTAACACAATGTGTAAACAAAAGAATGTGTACTGGAGTCCCATTTATAATGGTAAGAATGGGAATGGAATGTATGGTTGGATTACTTTGTGAGTTTCAAAGCAGATAAAGCTCCAGCTAGGTAGATGGTATCAAAATGTAGCAAGGGAGGTTGGGGGTCGACAGCCACCAGTTTAGGGGGGGGGGGGGGTGGAAAAATTGTTTGAAGTGCAATAAAACGTGTAACGAAACAAAATAAAATTTAGAAATCAACAAGTTGGTACAACGGGGGGGGGGGGGGGGGGGAACACAAAATAAGAACTTTGAAAAACATTTTAACATCAATAGTTAAGAAAATGTACAAGGTTAATTTACATAGAAAAAACTAGAAAAAATAAAGATTGGGTTATTTACAAAATATGTGTCTTGATTTTTTACATCTTTACAAATTTAGTTATTTTTTTTACATGATGTTAAAATGGTCCTTTGAAGCTCACGCACACACACACGCTCCATATTTCCTTGCAGTCCGCGGAATTCTCCTCACGATTTTCTTCCCAAATCCTCCAACTCCAAGTCAGGTCACCTCTCCATCTTCTTAATTATCCCTTAACTCTGTTCACACCAACTGGTCGACTTAGTGTAATGTGTAATGTAAGAGTGTTGGTGTGGATGAGCACCACAAGCATGTAAAGGGTTAATACCATTTCTTCCAATAGTCAAATCACTTTTTAATCCTCATATTCTTATATTTAAAATAAGCCTGCTGATAAGAGGTGCACATTTCCAAGGGTATTGTTTATTAAGATTTGAAGATTTGTTTGAGCATTACAACAGGTTGTTAACATCAATCTCTGATAATAATTTTTTTTCCTTTTAGAAACTCTCTACAAATCTCTAAACCTGCCTCATTTTCAATCTTCAAGCAGCTACTGTGGTAAAACAGCTCAACATTCAAGAATAAAGAGGAAAGTTGATGGGACCGTGTCAAGAAAGGTATATATAGACAATATACAATATACAAAGCATTGCTGTACTTAAAGCCTGACACATAACAATTACATAAGTAATTCCCAAGCTGGTACATAGTCATTTATACATCTAAGTTCCATAATCTAAGTTATCCCAACAAACCAAGGGTAAAGCCATTAACATTTATCTAAAAAAAGGGGAAACGGACATCCTTTTCCAGGGTTCAAATTGACTTGCGAAATTCTGGCCTGTTTTGCAGGGATAGACAACATTTCCCAGCACTAATGCGGGGTCGGGGTGGGACAGGTTGGCCGCCCGTGCTGCGAGGATTATTATCGAGTTTGACGATAGTTGACAGAGGATGCCATATATTATATTTCTAGTCTTTGTACTCCGATGCACTGGAAGATCATATTACAACCGTAGGATTGCTGCTTAGAGGGTGGCAGTATCATAAAAGTATGCTCCTTTAATAACGGTCTACAGTAAAATTAATACGCAAAATAAATGTTCTTTAAATGTGTCAGTAGGTAAGCGAGAAAAGTTGTCCTCCATAAGAATCACATGGGGACCAAGTAAGCAGTTTTGCTGCAATAACAACTCTAAAGGGGCGTGTTTTAATACAAAAAATATTTTGGCAAAATAAATCAAAATACACAATTGTCAATTGACAAAAAATTGAAATAAGTAATTACTATAAGAAATTGATTTTTGCTTTTATTCTCTTTAACATTGAAACCGAATAAGAAGATTTGCTGCCATGGTAACTGCCAAAATAGGAGTGTTGAGTAAAAAAATATTAAAACAGAAAATATGAAGCAGGGCACAATGTCTTTATTATCCATATGTTGAAAATTAATATTTATATTCATACTTATTCTCCATAAGATTAACATTGAGTTTATTTCAGCAAAACATACTCTAGTTATTACTGTCAATATCTCGGTAGCACATTGACGCAGAACAAAGACTCAATAAAATTACTAAATTGTCTGTTTTTTGTGCTGGATATAATGGTGAAAAAATAAGTTTGAAATTATAATCAACTTTGAACAAAATATTTAAACAAATTATATTTGAGGGAAAAAACCTTATTTTTGGACACTAACACCACAAAAACCCATCTTAGGGTTACGTTGTCTGCCTGGTTTTAATATTCAAGGTTAGAAATATAGTTTTAGATATTTTTAGAAATTTTCACGGAAATCAGTCAATCCTGAACTATAAAATCGACGAAATTGCAGTCATCATTCCGGTTGTCCGATTTTGGTAGACTTTCTGGCACTAACTAACTACACCCCGCAGGGGGCCCACGCTTGCGTGGGTACGTGGCCTGGCGACCACGCGGACCCCAGCTCTCCAGTGGGGAGGCAATTGCCCGGTGTCAGAACCGGCACTTTAGGTAAACCATAGTTATGGCCGACTGGGAAGGCCAGCCCCCTTGAAAATTAAAAAGGGGAGAGTCCCCAGTGAGAACCCTGAAAAAGGTGAAAAAGGTTCACCCTGAATGGAGGGAATGTCACTGGCAGTGACATTCCCTCCATTCAGGGTGGTGGGGTGTTTAGCTCTCAGTGATGCCGTTAATTCCGCCTCTCCCCACCTACCTGGAACTGTGGTTCTTGGGCTTGCCCTGCCTGTTGTGTTCGACTGACATTATGTGAGGCATATCCTCGACTCTGGAAGTAGCCTCGTCCTGGGAGTGAAAAGCTAGCCCCCAAAGGGGAGGCAACTGCTCGGTGTTGGAATCGGCATTTTTAAGTAGGCCACAGTCATGGACGACTGGGCAGATCCCAGTGACATTCCTTCACCCAGGATGGCGGGGTGTTTAGCTCTCGGAGAGATGGAAGTGCGCCATCAATCTCCCACCTACCTGTGTCTGTGGTTCTCTGGGTTTCGGCCCGCTTGTTGTGTGCGACCAGCATTCAGTGTGGCAAATCTTCGACTTTGGAAGTAGCCTTTCCTGGAGGTGAAATCGGGCGAGTACCCGTAGCTCACGGGGACACTCTAGGGGACGTAACTTTCCGCAGTGTGAGGGTATTGGTTGTAGGCACTTCTCCAGCCAATCCCTGTCTCTGAGCACGGAAGGTATGGTTATCTGGAGTGTGGGGGGTTCTCCCTGGAACCTCAATTGAGTTAAGGGTGTCGCCACCTTTGGTGGATAGGTTCATCCGGGTGGGTCCCACTTCTATACCTGCCTCCTTTTGGGAAACCTTGATGGCCTGGCAATGATGTTGGGTCTGACGGGCAAACGAAGTAGATCAGGTGCTGGGTCCGAGCCCGCTTGGGGTATCCAGGGATCTATCGCTCTGGTTATCTCTGGTTTCCCAGCAACTGGGTAAGGCCTCGATCGGGTAGTGGTGTAAATGGGAGGTTCCCCTTCCTTCTGGCTATGATGGCGGGTTCTGCATGTCAGGGATTAGATAGGTCCCGAGTGTTGCTTGCACTATTGCACGTCCAGGGCACTCCTTTTAGTCCAAAGGGCTTCGGCCTTGTTAGAACTTAATTGGGGTGGGGGTGGGAATAAAGTAGCCGGTATCCCTGGTTAGGATTGAGGGGCAACCCTCTCTCCGATGGGTTATTAGCCGTTTGGCAGCCGGTGAGCGTGATGACCTTAAGTCATCCTCCTATGGTGTCGTAAAGGTTGGTGCGCAAGTTCCAATTGGCATCAGAGGTCCCGAGTTGAGTAATAGGTACCGGGTGTGTCGGGGAGTTTCGGCTCTTCTGACAAAGTAACATAACATAACATAACTAACTAACTACACCTGTTGTTACCAAAAATCTTTAAAGCACAACCGGTTATTATTTTTTCTGTCTTGGAGTTTTTTTTTTGGCTAAATTTACCTGTCTACAATGACTCGATTGTTTTAAGAAGCGCAAAGAGCAAGTTGTCAATTGTATAGTCCCTCAAAACATTGTGTTCTCCATATTTGATCCGGAAACACAAAGATATTCCTTTAAAGTGTTGTTACTTTTATTTGAAACTTATGTTGCAACTTAGAAACAACAACGCTATGCAAGTTTCAGTTTAGTACTGATATCGCACGACTACCTGTTTTTAAACCCCTGCCCCAGGTTCTACTAGCCTAGGGTCGGTCGTAAAATATTTTGGCTAGGGCGGCCAACCTGTTCAAGGACTGATCCCCATGGTTGGCCGCCCCTGCAAAAATATTTTACGACCAACCTTTGGTCAGGAGACCCTGGGAAAGGTTGTCCTATGACCTTAAAAAAGTATGAATTTTGTAATACGCTGTTTGGTTCAATGTCTCTTTCAGCAGCTTAGAGGTAAAATATTTAAACCAAATTTGAAATTTTGTTTATTTAATACTAAGCTATCGACATTGCAATAAAAAAACACATCTCAATATCTTCCCTGTAGCAGCAAACCTAAGTACTCACTAATATTAATGTTAATTAAATAGGAAATAAATATATTTTTAGGGAATATTTTAGTAGAAATCCAGGTGAATGGAAATTCGCTTAGTCTGAGCAGGTTTGCTGGCGGCGATGGTATTACTTTTAATTTGTTACACCTTTTTGAAGGCGATGACGAAGATAATTTATTGATTTTGTCATTATAAATGCCTTCAGCTGATGCATACGGTAAGGATAGTAAAATCTGTGAAAGCTGATGTTTGTTCCAGGGGCTTGGCCGTGGATGGTTATACTAGGCATGCGTAAGAACAACACCCAGCATGGTGAGTTCCACTGGTTCTGTGCCGGGACTCTAGTAACGACCCGTCATATACTCACTGCAGCTCACTGTGTGGCTGACTATCGCAGGAGGAACTTGTAAGTGACACGACACCACGTTTAGAAAATTATAAGAAAATATCTTCCAAAAAAATAAGTTATCTTTCTCTAAATAGTAGATTCAGAAAGGGAAACTACTGATATTTAATTAACACTTATTTAATAGCTGGAAGAGACATAATACTGCACACCCTACATTAATCTTATAATTTGATTAAAGAGTAGGGTGCATTACGCATTTTAAATTTTCTAGTACATGAGCCACCAACATATACGCTAATATAAATCACTGATTTGTCGAAGGCGCTAACTTTATTAACAAAGCCAAACGAAAAAGGGCATGTTTGTAAAATATAGCATCTTTAATATTACTTCAACTATTACAGTAACAAAAATAGAGGAGGAAATATAATATCAGACTCTAGCACACTGATTGGCTCATTTAGCTATGGGCTTTCTAAAAAAAATAAACACACACACATATATATATATATTTACAGCTGCCATAAGATGGAAAGACTAGTATAAAAAATCAATGTTAGTTTTTTAAATTATTTATTACTGATCAAAGTTGTTCACACTGTTTGGAGAAGAAGTGTAGTGTGATTTTTATTCGCCTGACAGTGCAGACTATACTGTGAAATACTGTAATACCTTTACGGCATAAGTCCCAAAAGTCAGCAGTAACTTAGATAGAGATTAGTTATTTGGTTTTTTGATACTGGCTGAATGGTTGTTGTCTTGGGTAGTTTTTGGATTGAATTTTTATAACAGAAAATTCCTGTTTGTGTTTGTTGTACTTGTATTAGTGAAATTGTTGATATAAAACTAATTATTTTAAATTAATTATAATTTTTTTGGATAATTCGAAAGAATATGCTACTCTTATATTTGATTTTAAAAACTTTTTTGGTATATTATGAAAATCATATTTAAATTGTTACAATTATACAAAAATTATTTTGCCTGACCTTACAATCTGACATACATTCAATGATGATCATTGACCATAATTTTCTCTTGGTAAAAAGTAACAACGAGATTATGAATGATCAATTATTATTGTTTTACATAAATTATGATTCACTATCTTATTGATGGTATTTCATAACCTGTTTTGATTTTAGGTTTTTTGCCAGATTCAATGATATTGATCTAGACAATAAATCCGATGATAAAGGAGCAATTGATATCGTTATACAAAAAAATACAATTGCTATTCATCCTGGATTCAAGAAAGAACAAAAATTCTCTCATAATCTTGCAATTATCAAGATGAATTCAAGCATATCAGTTTCAGGTTATCTTTGTTATTATTTATGTGCTCTACGCTCCTTCATAGAAATAAAAAAATATCTTTACAATTCATTAAGTTTAGAATCACTACTGTGTTCAGATTGACTTGCACTTTTGCCAGTTGGGGACAGAAATTACTTGTTTAAATAAATGGACTTGGTTGGCCTTTTTGCACTAGGCAACTTTATTAGTGCATGAAAACATTGACTACACACTTGATGCACTAGATGCGTTGGTTTGTTAAAGCAATCAAATGCAAACCTAAAGGAATTAATTACTACCAAAACACCAATACAAAAATCAATCCATGCAGTTCCTTCCCCACCCCACACCTACGGGGGCGTCGCCCAAAGAGGGAGCCGCCACCCCAATCATTTTGAAAATAGTAAAAGCTGGGAAACTTTAAGGTCTTTGAAGCTATGAGTTGGGGTTTTGAGAACTTTGAAGTTGTTGACTTAAAGGCTTACTAGCGAAGCAATCTATACACAGGAGAACAAGGACTTTAATTGATATTTTTTATTTGGCGTTTTAGGGGTATTCTGATTCGTTGGTAAAGGTGGTAATGGTGAAAGGCCCAATTGAGTGTACAGTTTTTAAAATTAATGGTATCATGAGTGCACCACGTGTGTATCGACATGTACGTGTGCCGGGGGTCAACCACGTGTGTATTCTATGACCAAACCAAAGCGTGTTTTAGCACTACTCCAACGAAATATAAAGACTGTCCCTGAAATTGACTGATGTTTATGGCAAACAAGGAAATAACTGGGAAATGAGTTATTCCAAGATGTCGCAGTTTGATTCTAGGAATCAGTATTTACTTGCAATGAGCCCATTAACGCCTCACACTCAAGAGTGTTGTGATAGATTCTTTCAAGGCGCATAAGCGTTTCTTTAATCAAGCCGGACGAGGTATCTAGATTCCTGATCAACATTAAAATGGTGTTTTCTTGAGCTTGAGTAATAATGAGGTGGTAGACCACTAACAGAGAGGCTGTTACGAAACACGGTAGGATAACTGTTTTGCACAACGTCGCTTTCGTTAACTATCGTATTGCTGTTTAAATACCTATTCTTTAAATAGCCAATGCTAGGAAAATTGTCCACGATCACGCTAAATTATTGAGTTTGTAGCAGTCTTCCTTTTTTCCCCAAATGGCACGGTCAGCTATGGCATTGCTCTTAATGGTTGTATAAATGTTCCCATATATATCGGCCGTGACAGGGCCGAAGGCCGCAGCGGCGTGCGGTGTGCCGCAGAGTATTAAGGGGCCTCAGTGGGAGGGATTTCTAAAACCTAAAACTGTGATTGAAAAAAGTAAATTCACAAAATAATCAAAAGTAATACCAGACTTGTGAACAAAGGAAGTGTTATCTGTTAGCTCACCCTCTTTTAATTGAAGTTTGCATCCGTCAGAATTCTTTTCTTATAATATGAAAACTGTTATATACTTCCAAACGGTGGTTCTCTGCTAAAGTCACTATGAATTTTCAGAATATATAAGACCAATATGTCTTCCAACTCCAGATTTTACAAGGAAGTCGTTTGATGATGCCACCGCTTACTTCGCCAGCTGGGGACAGACGGACAATGACCGCGAGCTGAGTCGTAAACGTGGGTAACATCATAGATAAAACATACTCCCTTGTGTTGCTTAGTCTATGGTAACATTAAAATTAGATAGTCATTCATATATTTTAGTAGTTTCTGGTTTAGTAAATAATCAAATTGTATATTTTACCAACCAACGAAATACATGGCTCAATTTGAGGTAAAACAGAGTGTGCTAGGATTCTTTATGTCCAGTGTACAGCACTTATTAATTAGTTAATATTCCCATCTGAAATAACTGTAAACAAATTATCAAATTCAGTATTTTAATTCATCAATCAATTAACCTTTGACGTTTACTTACATCATAGACAAAAAGGGTAATCCGCAGCACAGCTGACAGTCTATTTTAATTCACCAATCAATTAACCTTTGACGTTTACTTACATCATAGGCAATAAGAGTAATCCGCAGTACAGCTGACAGTCTATATTTAATTATTTTTGTCTTAGGCTATGTTACCATTGACTACTGGATACTGAAGTAGACAATGATAATATGGTCGCCAATTTTCAATAAGAAAGAACATAGTTGTCTGAGCCAGGCACAGAATGCGCTAGTGTGTAAAATTCTCTTTTCCACCTTATTTTTGTTACTGATATAGTCGATAGGTCATAACAGTAGTTGTTAAAGCTCACAATAAGTCAGGAATTACACAGTATTCAACTGTGCCTACTTTTACTATGATTTCCCACATCTGATGAAGATACAGATTGAAATTATTTCAGTAAAAAAATGTGGTATGGATAAGGGACAAATTAATAAAATGAAACATACTACTGTATTTGGGTGATACTCACAAAGAGTTCTCCCGTTCTTTTTTACAGTACACTTATTTTTCCGTTTAACTCAACGTAAGCGACTGTTCCCTAGGAAATAGTAGGCCGAATTAAATGTCAATTGTAAGGCGGGGGTAACTACCTAATCAATTTTATTTTGTGTATATTTATGCCTTTTAGGTATTTCCATTTTAACATTTGTAGGTGCATCTAAACCTTAGTCTTGTTACTATCAAACATCAATCTTTTCCTAAGAAGCATCGTCAATAAGAGGGGCGTTTTAGCGAATTTCTATATAGAGAATAAGCTATTACCGTAGGTCTCATGGTAAGACATAGACCCTGGACCGATTTAATTTTGACTTTTAAGGTCCCCAGGGGCCAAAAAAACCATACGTTACTGATGTGAATCAATTTTTAAAGCATTTTCAAAGAACCAACATTATCTCTTTTGTAATACTTACCCCGTTACAAGGCACGGGTATAGCGGCTTGTATAAAATATAGTACATTGCCACAGTACACTGGGAGCTCTTAGTTAGCAATTACCAGCAGAAATAGTTTCAATAATTAGTTTGGAAATTGGGCTGTGTTAAGATGAATCAATAATATAGTATTGTAGACATTCTCTCATCTGGACAGCCATCATCATCATCAACTAAAAAATCTAATCATGATTAGCAATAAAAGTATAAACCATACACTTAGTAAAACATTAATTAGTGTAACTTAATTCTACATAATTTCATATACAGTTGATTCCCTCTCATCCGAATTCAGACTTTAGATAGTTCAACCCGTCTCCACTTGGGAATGACTCACACACTCACACAAACAATCAAGTTACACCTAATCCATTTGTCTAGTACTAGATTGTATACATTGAAGATATTTTTTTTCCTTTATTATTTTGTATAGTAATGTAGTCGTACTATACAAAGGTACTCGTTTCCCACATAAAATTATACGTTTCTAAACCTTCTTACATACAGAACACTACTAGACAAACGGTTTGGGTGTAACTTGATTGATTTGGTTTATGGGACAAAGCGACATGTGCACATGTGAGTGTGTGAGTCCATCCCAGTGGTCACTGGTTGAACCGTCCATAGTTCAAATCCAAATGGGAGATTATCCTATTGTACATGAAATTGTGAAAGGCAACATTGTATTACCATAAATGCTTTGGCCATTTCATGAGATCATCTTAAGCATTTTTTCACAGTACATATTTCGGTTGCATACCAAGATTTTGCTAGTTTCACAGTCAAAACTTGTCTGTTGGCAGGCCATCATCAGCTGATCCTGCATGAACTACAAGCCACTGTTGTCAACCACGCAGAATGTAACTACAACTACAGAAACTATCAGTCAGACGAATTCATCATTGTTGGATGGGATTTAATCTGTGCTTCTGTTCCAGTCAACAAAAGCTGTCAGGTATAAAATAATGTTTTACATAGATGAAATATATCAGAAGCTTTGAAAAATCATGAAACATAAGATTTGGTTACCAATTTAGCTACCTAACCCAATAACAAAGAATTCCTACACAGGGAAAGATAATTGTGACTTGTTATTGACCAGAAAAGTAATCGAAGGTCCACCAAATGCTCCCGTAGCTACCTAGGGTGGTCAATGCATGACAAGTGTCCGGAATTCACTTGGCGTATTAACGATTTCATCTTAACATCCTTTGATCACGACAGACTACATGATTTGGTGAAAGGTTGCTTTTAAATTGACAACTACATTTCTTTCCCCTATATGCTTGTTTTCCCTACATGGGAAATTCGCTAAAACGTGGTTGATGAATACGTTGAAAACATATTTCTGATCCTTTTACCCAGCAATAGATCGCTCAAAAGGGTGTTGCAGAACCTTACGTTTGTTTCTTGTTCATGATCTTTTGCCAAACTGGAAAAGGAGTGAACATAAAATTGGGTCTGTCATCTGATGGAGGGAGCTAATATTACTGATACTGGTTCCATATCCTTTTTTCCTAATTGATTTGGATTGTATTTGGATCGTATCAATGAATCGCCATCTTTGGTAGTTAACAATAAACAAATGTTATCAGCGAGAGGCGGACTATTGTGTATGTTTGTGTTGTACGTTTTGTCCAGAAAACAGTAATATTCTTACTTCAATGGGGATGTATCTGGAACTCTCATGCTGTGTAATTTCGATTCCTTCGATTACCATGTCGGCCATCATTCTGTACTTATGTGGTAACTCCTAACCTTCTGGCAGGATCTTGTGTAATCTCGTCACGAGGTTACTGTCAACATTGAAATTTATTGACACGCGAGGGTCCATTGCCTCGAACGTATCAATCACATAAATTTGTGCATGCACAGGGTGTCCCGTAAGTGAACAGTCAAACTCAGGGACATGGTTCTATGGAAATAAATCAAAATAGAGAGGAAATAAAAAAAACATTTCTCCAACATCACCTAGTTGACGTTGTATTTTTTACATACGGTTTCTAATCTTTAGATTTTTAAAAGCGATCTTTATGTATCTTGGTATGTATGCTAAGGTAGAAGATACCTATGTAAAAAAAAAACATAAACTTGGTTCAGTTTGATATTTCAAAATGCGGCCATTTTTTTATTAAGAAAAAAAGGCAGATTTTATTAAAGACATTTTAAGAAAACTGTTATTCAACATTTAAAACTTATCTAACCTATCCCTATCTAACGACTGTAATTTTAAGACTATCGTAAAAAGCTGAAATATTACAAAATACCCCCGCCGCAGCAAACCTGCAGACTAAGCGAATTTCCATTTGACTGATTGGATTTACACTGAAATGTCTACCTAAAAATATAACATTTATTCCGGATTTAAATAGAATTAGTTTAACAAGTACTTAAGTTTTTTTGCATCAGGGAGGGTAAAATTGTTTTTTTTTTGTAAAATGTTAATAGTTAGTCAGAAATAAAAACATTTTCCAAATGTGATCAAAATATGTTCATAAACAAGCAAACTACAACAGTTTACTTATTCTCCATAAGAATAACATGGGAATTTTAAATTTACAATTTTTTGTAATTTTCTCCGTAACCGTTAGGCGCATAATAACGCTTTAATATACTAAATTATTTGTGTTTTTTTAAGCTCTACAAAATGGTTTGGAATAAAATTGCAAAATTTTAAGTTTTTTGGGTCAAAAATGGGAAAAACCTATTTTTACCCCATAAAACCCCCCGTAAACACCCGTTCCCATGGTCCGATCATGCTGGATCGCGAACTCGTTCGAATAAACGTAGGTTTACACGTTTGTACCAAATTTCATCAAAATCGGATCATTTTTGCTCGAGTTATCGTGCTGACGGACATATATATATCTAATATATAAAATTCTCGTGTCACAGTGTTTGTCTGCAAACTCCTCCGGAACGACTTCACCGATCGTTATGAAATTTGGTGTGTAAATTCTGTAGGTATGCGTATCGGTCGTAAACTATTTCCCGTTTCGAAATTCTTAAAAGGGCTCCGCCCCAGTGGCTCTGGAGTTTCCCATGTTAACCTTATGAGAAATGGAATTAATGAATCTTAACAGCTGTTTCAATTAAACAAGTTGGTTCTGTTCTATGATGTTCAATAGCATTAAAGTTACAAGGATTACCAACAGGGTGCAGCACTATTATTTCTTTTACATTTATGACAACAGCTAATTTGCAACCAAAAGGTGAGTGAGCGTAGCGAACGAACTTCAACCTGGAGGCGAGTTAGCGTAGCGAACGAGCTAACCTGAAGGCAAGTGAGCGCAGCGAACGAGCTCCAACCTAAAGGTGAGTGAGCGTAGCGAACGAGCTCCAACCCAAAGGTGAGTGAGCGTAGCAAACGAACTTCAACCAGGACGTGATTGAGCGATGCGAACGAGATCATCTTGAAAATTAAACGTAACGGTACTTTCTTTCCATCGGTCTGTCTTAGGGGAAACCTATAACTTAGGCGATACGAAGTTCGCCGGGTCAGCTAGTATATATATAAATATATAAAAATATATATATGAATTTGAACGGATGGTGTTTTTGGCCTCTAGGGACCTCAAAACGAAAAAAAAATCGGTCCCGCGTCCAGGTCTTACCATGAGTACTACGGTAATAGCTTATTCCCTATATGGGAAATTCGCTAAAAGTATCTACTGTTGAATTTTTAGATGGAAAAAAGCATATCTTTGCAAAAAGATTAAAAGAGACTTATAGATAGTTTTCCCAATTTGAAGTATTTTAAACCCGCGGAAATCAGTCTGGTATAACTAACCTTAACATAGTAACTTTTATTAGTTGTTTACTCTGCAGGTGATTATGTAATTTATAAGTTAATTACAGTTCTGAGTTCTAATTACCGTTCTCAGAATAAATATTCTAATCTTTTACCTAACATTTGTTGCAGTGTTATACAGCAGCCATCTGCATTTTACCTTTTCAAAGAAAGAATCTTTGATTGTTATTAATATTTTGGTTTGCAGGGTGATGCTGGCAGCCCTCTGATGCTCAAGATTAAGGACACCTATGTCTTGATAGGAGTGGTAGCTACGCACGGGTGTTATAATGAAGTATTCCCACGGTTGTTTACAAGACTGTCAATATACATGGACTGGATTATTTCTAATTTAAAATTTTAAAAATATTGAATTTATTGTGTTATTTTATCCTTGTTGGTGCTGGCATACAAAAACAAGTTACAATTTCAAGTTATATACAAGTTACACAAGTTACAAATACAAGTTATACAAGTTACAAGTTTTCCAAATTCTTGGAGGCTACAGAAAGTTAAACATTACCTAAGGAGACCAAAATGGCGTATTGTCGGGAAAGCACTAATTAAATATCAATACTTAGGCTTCTGTCAATACTTTTTAAGTTTAAATGCAGCAATTAATTTCGTCATCACTTCATCTGCAATACTTATACGCATTTGTTTCTTAAGAGGAATCAGTACTTTACTCACCCGTTTGAATCATAAAACACTTGTTGTCAAGTTTTCAGTATTTTTATTCCTTGTGTTTGTTCACATCTTATTCTTTATTATAGGTTATCTTTGCTCTGTTAATTCCGTCTTGTAGGTATACAAACGCATATAACTGAAACTAAATTAATCTTTCCACGTTAAAACACAAGGTTAGTTCTGTTGGCAGGGGGGAACTAATAATCCATTTATTGTCCAGATTCACCAATGTCAGTAAAAATTGTTGAGACACAATTAATTTGTGTTTGCGAACAAATGGCTTCATCGAGTCCGCAACATTTGAGGGTTTATTCTTGTCCACACATGAAATCCTCGGATACAGTTTATTCTCGAGTATAATTGTAAATATTGTTATTTGTCTGTGTGTATGTCAAAGCGTTGACTATACAAACTATTTTAAGTTAGAGTAATTTGTTTGGAATGTTTTATAAAAAAAACAATTTCGGCCTAATTAAGTCAAGAATAGATTATGCTAATTTAATTATGTTTCATCCATTACAGACCAAAATAAACTCAACCAAGCCAATCCAAACGAAAAACGTATAGTAAAATATTGATTTTTTGTTACAAAAAATTGTAACAAAAAATAGTGTTGTTAGTAGTTGGTATAGTAACCCATCACTATGTGAAATACTGTACTGTAGTATAAACCCGTCCATGGCGTAAATCAGCCCATGGACACGATGTCTACTTCAACACACAAATCGATCCTTATCAAGTTACGGATAATTATTGTAAATTTCAAATACAGTATTTTTTATTCAAAGCAATTCCTCCATTAGGTTTCACAATAATATATTTTCAATAGTAGACTTTGGAGTGTTTGTGTTAGAGCTCTTAAGTTGGCATTTTGAATGTGTTTCAACTGATACAAAAAGTAAATATTTACAATAATAAATTAATTAAGTAAAGTTAAAACAGATGATGAAGAGGATATTGGAAAAATATATGAATAAACTAGCAGAGTACCCGTCCTTCGTACGGGGTTGGAATATAAGTATAAAATGCTTATTGCAGTTATACTCAAGCTTTGCGTTTGCAATAAGAGAGGACACAGTTTGACAAAATTTGCTTTTTTTAAATTTACAGTATTCTATAGTATTACACATCTACCATAGCCATAATGTTCTACCACTTCACCTAAACAATAGAGAAAAATAAATTATTAACAATTCGCAAAATATCATAAATTATTCATGAAATGAAAAATATAAACATAACTGTAAACAATCCTACTTTGACAGTTCTCATTGCGAATCACAGTTTTTTGTTGCCGCTTAGTTCAAATTAGCTGTTTTCATAAAAAAAAAAATATAGTGCTGCACCCTGTTGGTAAATCTTATAACTTTGTAATGCTTTTCCATATCATAGAACCAACTTATTTAGTTGAAACAGCTGACTGAATTCTTTTAATTCCCTTTAAATATGAATACTCATAAGGTTAACATGGGGAATTACAGAGCCACTGGGGCGGAGCCCGAAAGGACTTTAGAGATAAGAATATGCCTATATGTTAATCGGGAATGTAAGCTATCATCATGCCAAATTTCAGCCCAATCCGTCCAGTGGTTTATGCGTGATTGAACTTCAAACACACAAACAAACAAACAAACACACAAACTTTCACATTTATAATATTAGTAAGATAATATTTTGAAATTTTGATATATTACAGTGTTGTTCTTGATGTAATTATTTTAAGTAATTCTGAGTTAATGACACTGAGTTTCAAAAGATTATTTTTTCATATATTTTTCCAATATCCTCTTCATCATCTGTTTTAACTTTACTTAAAATTAATTTATTATTGTAAATATTTACTTTTTGTATCAGTTTGAACACAGCCTGACGTTGGAAACATAGTTTCTGAAAGCGCTTGTGGATTAAAATAATTTATTATATATTGGTTTTTTTTTTTTACTTTTAAATTTAGTTATGTACATTTAATTATTTGCATTATTATATTCTCTATTAGTAATAAAATTAATTAAAAATGTAACAAATTCCGTATTATATCCATCCTCTTAGCACTATCCTATCGCAAAACCACAAAGAAAATTCAAAGTGCCAACTAAAGAGGGATCATGGAGTCTGTTGGGTAAAGATTCGTACATTTTTCTTCAGACATGTTCCCAAGTTATAACAAACAAAACTAGCACTCAATAACGTTACAGAAGCGCCAAAGGCTGAAATAAGTTATAACTTTGTGGCAAACTGTAGTTTGAAACAATAGACTACAAGTGGACTTTTGGAAGTGCCGTAAGCCATTGGTACTCCACAGTTACAAAACTGACTGAGTAAACATGGAAAGCTGAGCCATCTGAATACTTCAGTTTAAATTGAATATCAAACTTTCAGGAAAGATACTTTATGAAGGATATTTATAGTTGGATTGATTTGATTTGTTGTGTTGTGTTGGAATATAAATCACCAATTAATGCATTTAACTGCAAATTTCATCACTGATTTAGATCATAAATAAATATATTTTTACTATTTTAATCAGTGTATTCTTTTTTTACTACACGACGTATTGACATGCATTGGCATTGGCTTACATGGGCTTACCTGGGGCTATTGATAAATAAATATGTAACGCCATCAGTTAATTTAAGACCAAAATATATGGGTTGTATACACAACAAGAAGTTAATATGGGGATGCAAGTGGGTGAGGGACAAGTGGATTTTCCACGTGTTCTAAATACCTGCTCTTACATAATCACATTTTAAAATAGTCGGCCTTGAATGACTAAAACTGAGAATAAGAATTATGAGTCAATAGTAAACTTCAAAGTTTAAGTTAAATATTCACAATTAAAAACTTACACCACACATTTCAGTTTAGAATAATCACAACATGTCTTTCTCATCATTTGACAGACTTGCTTAAAGTTTGTTCATTAAGAACAACAAACTTTGATGATTGCTATCAAAGTTTTAGTTGAGAATCAAATGTTTAACTAACATTATTTGAAGAGGAAGCGAGGATTTTGGTTGTTAAATTTGTTATATTGTTAGAACAATATATTTAATAAAGTTACAAGATAAATTAGTCAACTACTTTTAATGTGGATAAAATGTGTTTCTTCGAGTATATAACAATGTGGTTTGTCGTAGTTGATTTCACATATCAGTACAGAAAATAATCCATTTACCTGATATGTATAGTCATGAATGATAGTTCAATGCTCTTGTCACGAATTGTAGAATGTTTAGAAGACAATACAGCAAATGATTTATGATGATCTGCACTGTGTAAAATGATGCCTCATCTTATGTAGACTAAACGTAATTAAACAACAGATTATGACCTGGAAGCTAACATAACACGTTTTCCTGGATTGTTGTTCTAATGGATGAACACTGAACAGTGGAAATTTAGCTTCCAGCTTGAACAACTCAAAGTGCCCGGGAACCCAAAATAATCAATAGTCACTGATAGCAAAACAATATAAATCCCTTAAAAGTCAAATATAACGGGGTTTAACATAGTTTTGTGGTATTATTTGATAAAAAAAAACAATACAAAAACCCTTATTATTTTAGATTTCATGATCTTTTCCGGGTATTGAAGTAGTGAAATAAAATATAAGGGAATTCCAAATGAATATTTTAGTCTCCTTAATTTACAACCAATTTACAACCTTTGCTAGTTGTAAAACATTTAAAACACAATACTTTTGTATTTCTGTTGAACACTAAATATCTCATAATTTTGGCATATAATAGGCCTCCTTTCATTAATCGAAACATTACAACTTTTTATCAAAATTTATTACCTATGTGGTATGGCAAGACCTTACAAATTTACTTTTTTAATTTTGATATCCATTAAGGTAAAAAACAATTCGTTACAATTTTTATGTATGTAATTTTGGTTAGATTTGTATTATATGTGGCATGATCATGTAGGGCTGGGTGCACTTAAACGAGTTTGCAAAGCAGCAAGATTGATGTAAAAATGTTTATATTGGTACTGAATGTTATTGCAAATGATAGAGTTAACAAATCAACGTAGTCCTCCCAAGTCATCCTCACAAGATGGGAAACGTTGCAAAGGAAGCGGTAATTTGTTGTAGTGTCTCCTTCCTCCAGCTTTCCAATTAAAACTTTGGCTTCAAACACAAAACTTTTTTTACATGCTTTTTTTATAACTTATTTTGCTAAATTTCTTTTTTTGAACTTTAGAAAGTATCTCGCAAAACAGCATATACATAGTTAATCTTTCTAGTCACTCACTGTCCTGTTTTCTTGTTTTTAAAATAATATGTATCGACTAGGTTAAGAATAATAATTTAAATTTTTTTTCAACTGTACCTACACCTAATTCCTCAAAAACTTCAGGGATTATCACTGATTGAACTATTCTTTCTATCGATTTATTCTGTTAGCTATGTGATAACAGAACGAATAATTCCATTAAACCCAGTTTTTAGCGAATTTCCCTATAGGGAAGTAGCTATTACCGTAGGTCTCATGGTAAGACCTAAGCCCGGGACCGATTTACTTTTTCATTTTGATGTCCCCAGAGGCCAAAAACACCATTCGTTCAAATTTTTATATATCTATATATAGAGAGATATATATATGTGTCCATCCGCACGATAACTTGAGTAATCTTTGTCCGATTTTGATAAAATTTGGTGTGAAGGTGTAAGGCGGGATAAACTTGA